TTTATGTATTGTATCATACAAAGTTATTGGCGTTCATACGCCAATAACTTTGTATTAAAAGCAATCGAATCGTACCCATAAATACAAACCGGACAAAATCTTTAGCCAATTAACCTTTGCTGGATACGCGAACAGTTCAAATAGCAATTGCCCCTGAATTTATATCTCAATTTCAAAATCACAGTCGATTTCCTCCATACGATAAGCGCCGGCGCAAAGCCAATCCTTGGGTGTCAGAGCGAGTTGCACGGCATGAGTAAATAAAATCGGCCAAGTGCGAGTCGGACTCTCTACGAAGGCTTCCGTGCCATTTTATCTATAAAAACGGAAAAAAATCATGTCTGTTGTATGGTAGCCCCACTTAAATATGTTTTATTCTGTTTTTTAGTATTTGTTGTTATAGCGGCAACAGAAATACATCTGTGAAAATTTCAACTGTGTAACTATCGCGGTTCATGAGATACAGCCTGGCGATAGATAAACAGACAGACAGTGGAGTCTTAGTAACTGGGCCCCGTTTTACCCTTTGGGTATGGAACCCTAAAAAGGACGGAGTCGCAGCTCGTTTCGCTTTAATAGTAATAATAAAATGATTTATTTTTACCAAAAATAAAATCAATAATGTTATTGTAAACGATCACAATTTTTTTTTTCAAGTGCCGGCAGTAGGTACCTGGCGAAAAACCCGTAAGACATAGTCGACATTCATAGCTAAAATCTTACTTCTATTTGAAAAATTATTATTTCGCTTTTAATAAGTGACATTTTTTAATATCAGCAAGGTAATTTCAGTGATTCCCCGTACATAAGTAAGAAAGTCACCCTGGTGACCTGTCACCACGCCACATCTTTTTATAGGTACAATCTTTAAGTAAAGCGATACAAAAAAATTTACCGAAATACCAAAATGTACTTAAAAAAAACACAAATGAAGCCATCCGCGCCGTAGTATTTTGCGAGCCGTGAAAAACCGTTAAACGATCTAGTGTGCACATATGGGATGTCGAAAAAGAAGAAATATATCGATATATCGATATTTAGAAAAATATCAATATCGGCCTCGATATAGCAAAGGGAAAATATCGATATGTCAGATATAGGTCCTGTAATAAATATAGTAATAGTAAGTATTAAGTATTTGACACCTACGGACTCCGCCGCATTCGAATTTAAAAACATATCATTTTAGATATGATTTTCGATATTGAATTTTTTTATCGATATGTCGGATCTAAACGGCCGAAAATATCGAAAATATCGATATAGAATCAAAAATATCGATATTTTTTCGGCAACCCTAATCTATCGATGATTTAATTTGCGATTCCTATCTGATCCATTCGCGAGCAGCGAAACCGTTAGCAATAGTTTACGAGTATTCATGCTTTAGTAGCACTTTGGCCGTATCGAAATTGATTGGCTTATATTAAATATTTATATAACAGTTTGGCTTACTGCGCACTTCATGTGTTTTATATTGATAGGATGATCTCGAACATATTGGTATTTAACGCGTGAAATAAAAATTACGTTTGCATTTTGGTAATGTTTTATCTATTTAGGAATGACGTTTAGGAATAGCCCTTTCTTCTACAAATTACGAATTATTGCAAATTAACTTGAATCTTAGTTAACAGTTATTTTCCTCGAAATTATTCTATGATTTAATAATTAAAATTATTAAATTACACTTATTATAGATACGAAATATTATTTTCTTTTATAATAATATTTACGGGTTGCATACCAATCATGATTCCAAGATACTTACTTCTATTTGCAAAATTATTATTTCGCTTTTAATAAGTGACATTTTTTAATATCAGCAAGGTAATTTCAGTGATTCCCCGTACATAAGTACAAAAAAACTCTACCTCTTTACAATGTTAATATAAATAAATAAACAGTATTTCAGAAAGGACTAAATAAAGAAGTAATTTGAATGCAGTAACATGCGTTTAGAAATGTCACGGACTGCATCCGTTTGGAATATTAACCCACTAAACCAAAAATCGTTTGCAGTTGCAACGCAGAAATCGCGCGCGGAATTGTGAACTTCCCGTCGCGAAGAGCATCTCAAGCATGTGTATCATTTAAAAAAAACATAAACCTCTCTCATACATAGAAACTGAAACACGATGTCTTTGCAGCCGATCGGAAATTGTTGCGCCTTCTAGGGTATGAGGAAAGACATCGGACGCACTTATTCGACCCACTTTCTAACGCTTCAAGTGAGCAACTTTAGGCGACAACCGTACGGAGCTGTACTTGTGCTCATTTTATTTTAAACAATCGGCTTAATGTCTCATTCAGGTTTGATGCAAAATGTTCACTATCGTGTAATACAGGCCATTATGAAATCACTTTCTATCTTTTTTTCTTTAAAACTAGCTTAAGTGTTATTGATGAATAATTGTGCTAGTTTAGGTAGTGTTAACTTTTTATGAAATCAAGGTGACTTGTCAATAAAGTGTATCACTGGCAGCGATTAACATTCCAATTTTCTATAACATATCGATACCGTACATGGGCATCGAAGCTGGTTAGCCAATTGCTGTATCTGTGTTGTCAATTTAATATCGAGAAACATATTCTGACATGTTTCATCCAGTTAGCGATACATATTTTAATATGAGATCAGTTCCCCTATAAGATTTTGATTGCATATACTGGGTCTATATATATCTAATAATATTTAATATAACATTTTTGTTATTGCTTTCGCTATTTAGTCCCTTGCAGAATATAAGCCTCTCAAATACTTACTCGTAAATTGTAAACATCGTCTTCAAATTGTTTAATCCTAAACGACAGTCACTCAATTACGTACGCTTGTTAACGCAAGCAATAATATCGATACAAGATAGAATCCCGCAGTTTCACTAGAAACCTTCTGAATCACCAGTTTCGCCTATGTCGCCCTATCCATCAATCAGACATAAAATGGAGTTGCCACTTGCAAGCCACCGGATTAGCTGTAATAGGCGACTGAAGCACTCCATCGACTCCGCGATGCTCCCGTCTACACACATAATTATGTGCCGTAAAGCGTTCCTATAGATGCTACAGTCGCTTGTGATTTTTCAACAGATAGCTCTATTACTCATACTGGCGGCACCAGCAAATCACGATCAACACTTGACAGCAGATGGCGATCTTACCTTATAAGCGTGGCGGTTTTATTACATTGCGCGAATAAATGAAGACGTTAAGTGTGCGAGTACTGCTGCGAAAGTTTGGGGGTAAAAATGTGTTCAGGGAAGGCACTGTTCGCTTTCTTCGTCTACGGTACGCATACTAGATAACTGGGACAAGTCTTGAATGAAACTATTTTGCGGATTTTATCGCGTTATTTTTAAAATAGTTTAATCAAACCATCTGTTATATTAGCATAAAGAAAAGAAAACAATAAGTCTCTTATTTATATATATTTATATAAATAAGAGACTTATTGTTTTCTTTTATATTATATTCCCCTCTTGGTCCCTTGACACTAAAAAAGTAGAACAAATGTCTAATTCCCCTCTAATTGCAAGGCTATAAACAAAAAAATCCTTTTTTTATACGACGCTGCAAATCCCGACGCAGTTTTAATGGAAAACTGTTATGTCGTTGCGAAACCCAAGGGACGATTGTTGCAAAAGTTTAATTTATGTAACACTTTCACAGACGTCCATATGTGATAGCTCTACCGAGTTCGATTGCCTTTTGCGGCGCAATAATTGACGTTATCCGCGGGCCATCTTTAATCGGTCCCCTAGTTCCTAGACGTGCTTACGTAATAACCTATTTATGTAATAAACGCGCGGACGGGGCGGTCATCAATTAGACTATAAATTTGTACAGAGCTTTCTTATGAACACTCTTAAACGATGTAATATACCTATGTATCGGTTATCTCTTATCCTTTAAACGAGCATTTCTTGTATACATATATATATATATATATATATATATATATATATGTATATATATATAAACGGAATCTCGGAAACGGCTCCAGCGATTTTCATGAAATTTAGTATGTGCGTAGATTTGGGGGCGAAAAATCGATCTAGCTAGGTTTCTTTTTTAGAAAATGTCATTTTATCCCTGTTTTCAGGGAATGAAAAATATCATTCGAATATGACGGTAAATTTCGCAGAGAAAAAATGTTATAATAGCTCGGTCGGTAATCGGGGGGCCCCGAAATAGAAGGTCGTGGTTCGTATCACGATCATTTACACACTTATTTTTTTTTTTTTTTTTTATACCAGATCATTTTCTTTTTTTATTTTCAAAATACATGATTCTCCAGGTCCTCCAGGTACTTATACGGTTATTAATGACCGATATAAATTTACGTTTTGTGCTATAAATCTTTTTAAATTTCTTACTTCTGTATAATAATAATTTTATGTAGGTATTATGATAATTTACTCTTCTAGCACTTATTGTTTTCTTGATTTTACGCGAATATAATACGTATTAAGTGAAACTAGTTTACGGATTTTATCGCGTTTTTTAATTTGAATTGAACTGCCGACGTTTCGACCCCTTTCCAGCGTTCATTCATGGTCATGGGACACACTGACAGACAGTTCAAATCAAAATAAAAAAAGGGATATAATTCGTAAACTAGTTTCATTTAATATCATTTATCACATCTTAAATTGTGTGCTTCCACTATTACATGATGCATTATTTTACTTATTTATATATAAATATGAAAGTATTATTCATATTCAAATAGAGAAATCATGTTGGCGTGAGTCAATAGTCACGTGGCTAACGTGGTAACGGCGTCCAGAAAAGTTTATATCGGAGTTCCGTCCACAATTAGATACTGCATTCATGTGCTTATTACGCATATGCGTAAGAACGGAGGTCGACGAACCCCGATTACGAAATCCAACTGGCGCATCGCGCTTGCTAATTCTCTAGACAAGCGCCCACGCGTGGCGTATGTTGGTCGGTGAACATCGCTTCATATCCTACGAGCATTGTTAACATGTCGATGAATGGGTATCGATGGTATCGTGTTCGAAGGACCGCCCGTGGCCGCGTGGGTACCGTCTCTCGCCGCTTTTGACGCGCCGTGGTCGGAATCGTGTAGAGTTATGTGCGATGTGTGGCAGCAGAGGTAGGAAGATAGTACTAAACGGAAATACTAAAGCAGCGTCTATATATAATGTGTATATTGACGGGGCTTATATTAAAACCCACCGGATATCATGTTCTATTGACATGCATACATATCAAAACCAACTGCATAACACGATGAGGCTTGCGATGTCGGACCATGGATGCAAGTGGGGCGGTCTTTGGAAGAGTTTCATGTTGATTTTAAAGGTACAGAAGCAAAGAAAATAAATTATCGCAACTTGGACATCGACTAGAAAAGTAGTTTAATATTTACGTATAAAATAATAATTTCAACCCAGTCGTGGTGGTTGATAACGTCTCGTTTAATATCCAGCTAAATGGGCAAGGTTGCCCGAGTACACGTTTTGATGTAAGCTCACTCTTAATCTGTCTGGGTCGTGTCTCAATTTTATGTCAAGTTCACGACTTACGATCATGCAATCTCATACTCTAAAGCTTCATTGTGTAAAGTAAATGAAGCGTCCTAATCCTAATAAGACAGGCATCGATGGAACACAAATATTATACAATACATAGCTTAAATAAAAACGGTAGAATGTTTTCTTTCTATTATATATATCTTATGGTTATATAATATACTATTATATTTTATCAACAATTGGTGATGTCATTTTAAATCATTCTTTTTTACAATTATGGGATGGATATACAAAATTTTCTCCCGAAACCTTATGAATTATCATTCACAATGTTTTATATAGTTTTGTTAACATGTTACAGTCAGATTTCTAAAGGCATCTATAAAGTTCATTCGTTATCATGTTTCAATAACTTTACACATTCGAATTCCGGGCGTAAACAAGGCGTGCAAAAGTAGGTGAATCTACATCGGTATACCGTGTATAACGCATTTTGCATAACAATTGCGCTCCGGGCTAACCGGCCGTAGTCATTCACCGCCTTAAGTCGACCTTTAGTTGCTACACGATCCACTCAATTTGCATGCGACGTATTAATCGCACGGAAGCGTGGAAATGTATGTCTTACACGAGCACCGCTCTCGCCTGTTTCGAATACATTGGTCGGTGCCTGAGAAATTGGAGTAGCGTCATCATCGTCGGCGCCACATCTAAAGGCAGAAGTTTGTCCTTGTCCAGAAGTGAATTGTGAGGTATTGGAGCCTATTCTATTACATGGCCAAATACAGAGTATTAGAGATTATTCTTGACGAGCTAGGTAAGCACGTCGAAAATCAGAACAACATTTGGCACCCTCACTGGGAATAACAATCATCAAGCGCAAGCAATATGAATGGCTACACACATTTCTAGTAAGTTATTAATAGGTAATAATTAAAATTGTAAATCACTACCCATATTTTAACTGATACTAGATAGACATACATAGATAATACAATAGTAACATCTATTTTAATTTAAGAATTTGCTTGCCGGTAAATTTATTTTTATTCTGTATTTAATTTAGTGCTTTCACCTGGTCACCGTCGTCAACCGTCGCCATGGTGGCCATTGCGTAATGTGATGAGACGTTGAGCCCAAACCGTGTAGATTTTTATCTCGATAACGCCGCTTGGACTAATAAAAGCAACCGCTTTCGATTTTCTAAAAATGCAGAAGCGATCACAGGTGAAAGTGAATACTTGACGTTAAAAACTTTTTACCTTTGAATGGCATCCCAGAAGTTATAATTTTGTGTATATTTCGATAATTACAAAAATTTTAATTTTATTCAGTGTATTATGTATATACGGTATATTATTGTACGGTATGTAGTTTTTGTTTCACAAATTTTATTCTGTACACTAATTTTGTTCAAATCCGTTGCTTTTAGGGTCCGTATCCCCCCCTTACCCCCAGGCAATATCTGTATGCATTAATTCTTTTCGTAAATAATTTAAAGAGCCGGAGAGACTCGTAAAAGTTCCTTGGCGTCGACTTTTGCTTTTCGCCTGAGTACGCTTTGGCGCGCGTCGTTGTGTATATCCCCGAAATGCTGTTCATAAATTTGTCACGTAAAAATCCGGCTTTCTCCGAGGCAGAAATTTTGTTCATATTAATGGTACCATCAAGAACTTGGAAAACGGGCGTGACTTGCGTTTGTATAACAGATACGATAAATTGAGGGGTGATTTTAGCTCCTGTATCGAGTGCCTTTCATAAATTCAGTCGGCTCTGTGCAATAGGCTACCCGTCGTCGTGGCTATAATTCCCATTAAGTATTGGACCTACAGATTAATCTAGTCCTGAGAGTTCGTTATGTTACAGTTTTGTATGTAGTACACAAGATTGTCTTTGAGTACAGGTAATGTTAAAAATTGACATCTAATGGACGTCGGGAATGTAAATAAAAAAACGCGATGAAATGCATTTTATTTTAACCAACTGAGATGAAAAAATATTTGAAATGCTTTTTGTGAAATGGGTTGACGCCAGCTATAGTGCCGTTAGGACGTAGGACCTTCCCTTGGTCGTTTCGTCTTTTAAAACCTTAACCACCCACCGCCGGGGGTCCCGCCGGATAACACTACACCCACAGCTAGTGTAACAAAAAACACAATAGTTCGCACTCGCCTCCGAGCACGGCGAGACCAACACAACGCGTACACAAGGTACACCCGCGTTCCAGGGCGGTTCTCACCGCCCGCAGCCACCGATTAGCTAAAAACACAGTCGACGGCCATCGGGGTCTCGGTCCGCACCGCAACTTCGATGGCCCTTAGATGACATGTCGTAGTTAAACGCACGCATGAGCACATGCGCGGCCCTACGCACAGCGGAGGGCCCAAACCCGTGGGTTCTGGCTAGCCCACCGGTTCTGCGTCAGATGAAGCTTTAATAGACTCGGGACTGAAAGCGAAAACATCAGTTAATACAAGATTCAAGAATACCTTAAGTGTTGTGAGGGTTACCTCTCGTGTTGTGAATGTCGCCGACTAGCCCTCCATAAAAACAAGTGGGTGTTCAAATCCCAAAACAACCCAACCCCATCTTCATTCATTAACCGTGGAAACTACTCGAAAGCGAACGATATTTCAATCACGCAACAGAAAAGCGAAAGATTCCCTACAAACTTTTGTGAAAACACGGTTCGCAACAGTCCTAGCCGCGCGTGAAAAACAAAAATCCCTCGGGCTTATTTAGCCGAATGCTATTTCCAAATTGACAACCGACAATACGTTGTGAGCCGTAGCATGAATCAACGTCCGCTCGATATTTGCTTTGGACTTCGGTCAATGCGAGGAAACACGAGAAAAAATCACCGCGTCGACCTTGGTGTGCCGTTTTCATTTGGCGAGTTTGAGCTTCTTCCCCCTCTGCCGGCGTATTGTTCGTTGGCCGGTAACCGTTTTGTTCCCATCACAACAAAGGGAATGACCGCGTAGGAAGCGATGCGTTGATGGATACTCTATTCTCGGACAGTCGCGCGAAGACGTCCCAGTTGTTGGAAGTTTTGCGGCAAACGTTAACCTGGTAGGTTTTTTTTTTATGAGAGACGGTGGTGAACGAGCTATCGGTTCACTCGATGTTACTTTTGTGACCTTTCATAAAGTGGGTTTGCCAACCTCCAAGACAACCTCCAACAACAACCAGACAAGCCGCAGAAGTATAAAACTTCCACTTCACGCCGGTCTTCTGTGAGGTCGTGGTACTTACTCAAAGCTAGCCTATTCGTGCAATAACGAAGACTGTTGCGTTGTCCTACCACAGTAAAAAAAAATATTTGTCAAAGTCAAAGTAGTGATCATTTAACATTGTATTTTACTATAAATTAATTCATTCCCGGTGCAAAAAAGGTGTGTAAAAATTATTTTAACGTGTGTTTATATGTTTGTATTTCACTTCGTAGCTCACAAATGGATGAACCGATTTTGATGCAGCTTTTTCTTTGTAAAGCTGATGTGATCAAGATGGTTCTTACAGCTTATGAGGTGTTTGAAGATCATCGTCTCATTTTCTACTTGACAATAGGGTTTTACTATCATTAGTCCGATTAAGTTCAAATTTGGCGTAGTTCTTAAGAAGTATTTTTGCGTCGGTGGTAATGTACGTTTTAATTATAAAATGCCGCAAAATTCGTCGGCTGTTACCATTATTAATATATATTTGTCAAAACATGTATAACATATATTTTCATAGTGATGAAAAATGTAGCAGTTATTCCGCCTAGTGTCAATGTACGCTATGAACTTATTAAGTAATGCGTACGGGCCAATGACCTCTACCGATCGTGTTCATCATTAGAGAACGAACAAATAAAGCAATAATTTACATTCAAGTAACGTGTAAGTAATAAACCATTTAGTACCTTCAGCAGTACTCTTAAAACAACATGGCGCCATCCTTTCGGTCTTTACACGGAAAAAATAATTGATAAGTCCCTAATATGAATTTGCATACGAATATTTACTTCGTTATTCCTTTCTTTTTCTTTTTTTGAAACATTGCCCTTACTTTAGGATAACATTATCCTGTGTTGTAAGGACGTTTTACGAACATAAATTCACGCGGACTAACACCCAGATCCGAAACAACTATCTGTGGATCGCACAAATAGTTGTCCCGTGTGGGAATCGAACCCACGACCCCCGACGCCGAAGCCAATAATTTTGCCACTGCGCCACGGAGTCATCACGAATAGAAATATAAATAAGTTTTACGACCATTTTGACAACACGAGGTGATGCCGTTTTTTAATCGTTAGAATACACTGATTTCTTGTCAATTGTACTGTTTAAATATATTCGCAAGTGTTTCGCACTTCGGAACTCCCTTCTCACACGTTCAATTCCGCTGCTTAAGAGTGACATTATCGTATGGCTAATTTAAAATAGCTTTGATTCGTACCTTCGCTACGGCCACGCGAGCCGAGGAGCTAGAAAGTATTTTACCGCTGATAACAATCTTCGCTCTAAGGTCATCGGTGGTCTGTAAGTGCCCACTCCGCTCACGACATTGACGGTGGCAAGTTCGTGTTACGTCACACGCCCGAGAGCGAGCGTAATCCAGAAAAATCGCCCGCTCCGCGAAAGCGCTCGATCGCCCGGTTCGTATTTCCCTCCCCCGGTACAAGCGAGTCGAGTGCATTCGACGTGACGGGATTACGTGGATTAGTTACGGCCGGGACTGGGTTGTAAAAATATCATTAGACTCGAATTTACGCACTGCGCGATATTCGCTCGTTCGCTTTGATCTTTTTTTTTCTTTTCTTTTTACATCGCAAATAAAATGTTCCATTTGGAAGGATACGCTGCTGTGCATTATTCTTTTTTGTTTCATCGCTTGACGCTCACCCGATACGTGAACTTCCTTATCGTTTACTATTTTGAACGATGTCGTAACATTATATAGTATTTCTGTGTGCGCTACTCTTTCCTGGTAAATAATCATCCTTTTCAACGCGCGTTCTATTATTATTTTCACCTGCGACGTAATCGAATCGTTCAAATCAATATCCCCCTACTTCTAAACAGTTTGGTTATTTTGAATTTCGTCCACATTAGAAACCAATGGCAATACAATAATGATATAATCTCGTCTCGTGGAAATAGATACAGCGCATTCGTGTTCGTTTAGTTTCTTAAACTGATATCAACCATTAAAATTATATTCGCTATTGACACGATTCTCATTGCCATCATTTAATTTCCACCGTACTGAATTGGAGCATTGGAGAGGCTTCCAAATGGATAGCGTCTCCTGCCCTGGAGCCATTCCGCATTCCAGGCCGGGACAGGCTGTTTGACATTAATGTTGGGACATTAATTCGTTGGGCGGCTCAGTACGCGTGTAGTAAGAGAATACACAAGTGGCCGATTTGTCGATTGGTAACGTAGCCGGACACTTCCTGATGAGATACTAGAAGAGTACACCTCTAGTATCTCATTGTCTCGCATAACTTTGAGTCACCTCTATATTTTAATATTTATCCCCATTTAAGTTTGACCCTTTTGATCTCCAATTACCTTACAAAATTATACTATTTCGAAACGAACCATGTGTTCATGTAAAATGGTATTTGTAGATGTCAAGAGGAGTCGGTCAATCTTTATAAAAGGAATCTTAACACAACGTTAATTTAAAAAAACGATATGACATGTCAATACAGTATTGACATTGCGTAACGTTTTTTAAGTTATCATAAATTATTAATATTTTCTTCGTGTTTTCTCTCTACAAGGATTTATAATATTTAAACGTTTGTTTAGTCCTTAAAAAAGTGTCCTAAATTCTTCATTTGCAGATAGTTTAGTGTGTACATGTGTAATTAAATCTTGCGGCGCTTTTTAATCACAGTGCTATTTCTCTTGATTTAAGCAATAAAACGTAACATTCAATAAGTGGAAACATTGCGGTGACGATTTTAATTACTCTATAAATAAGATCCCGCTAATTGAGAACGGACAATTATGACTTCCCCGACGCACAACTCTCTCCAGCTTTCTATGTTAGGCTTTTACTTAAGCTTATTTTTACCGTGTCTTTTATTCAACATCACCCGTCTTAATTATTTAATCATACGTCTTAATTACATAATAAGATTCTAGTCAAATAAAGACTACTTTAGCATTTGCCTATCAGACGAATAAATCGGGTCGATATACGAGTATTCCAGGAGTGTGGTTATATATTTATAGACAGACAGACAGCGAAGTCTTAGGTTCCGTTTTACCCTTTGGGTAAGAAACCTTAAACGCGTAGCTAAAACCACTTACAACATGATTCACATGTGCCGACCCCACCTAGGTAGGATAAGCACAGCCGGATGATGATTTTCTCCTTACCACCTTAAATTCCTTTGGTACTCGATTAAGCTTTGATTATAGACGTATATACATACATACATAGCATCGTGTAAGTACTCGTGTATTTAATTTAATTTTGAAATATATTTCATATTATATTTAAAAGAAATTACACTTAAAAGATATTACACGTACAATGAGATAAGATAAAAAAAATAAAATTTATCTCGAAATGTCGCAATAAACAATTACTCACGCAGCGTTATGTTTTTATCTTTTGCATTTCAACTACTTTTCATAACTCATGGCCACTTCGGAAATTTATGTATTACCTCAATATCCTCACTCCCTGTATACTGCATAAAATATAACAAAAAAATATTAATCAATCTGTAAACATAAATAATTTAATTTATAATTATAAAGCTTTCATTTTCGTTATTTCTAATTTGTTTTTATTTTTGTTTCAGGTATGATTTATTTATCAACCCAATCACTCGCCAAGCAACGAAACAGATAAAGTCCATTTCATTCGATAAATGTAACTGATTTTATATTTTTTAAATTCAATGAATCATAACTGAAATATATATGTAAGTTTTAACTTTACAGCATTAGGTTACGTAATGTTTTTGCATTAAGTTTTATTTTGTTTAAATAGTCATCATTAATTTCAACGTTCTCTCTTGTCGTCTTCTTCAAAAGCGACCTAATGCCCTAATCTATTATAACGATTTGTTGTTTTAATTATCTATAAAGATCAAACTATTTCGCCGCCTTTTAAACAATCCTCCGTTATTATTGAGGAATAGCCATAAAGTTCAGTATTATTAATTTGTTGTTAAACATTAATTAGAGAAATCTCTTGCGTTATAACCATTGACATGTGATAAATTTCGCTACTTCAGTATCTCAAGTTATGGCTCATTAAGACATTCTGTGCTATGACCTGCACACCTCTGGGTACTTAACCCCGTTCGTACTTAAACTCATTCTAGCCCGGGGCTACGACACATTTCTAGTTCCACAATGGGTAATACCTGTTGCAATTGTACTCCTACTTCGAAATCTTACTAACATGCGCCGCGTTTCGAATTGTTCCAACTTTTCTTGATCAATCTGACCGATAACAGATTGTGTCTCGACTCAGTTATATCTAGATAATTTTTGAGCTAAAAGTAAACTAGTTTACAATGTAATACAACAATTATATATTATTGCGCTTTACTCGTATGATGATAGCAAGCTCGTGGAAATTAGATTTTCGGCTCTTTGTATAAATAAACTTTAACACAGCCCTTAATTTAACACAGCTCGTTGCACTCCTTAATACTCAAATAAATATTGTGTCATAAGTGTTTTGTTATTATACTTTTTACACAGGAACAGATGTCCCGTCAAAACTATGACGTAATTATATAATGATAATTTCTTGTATTTACGCGATTACACATTATAAATGAAACTATTTTTTACGGATTTATCTAATTGTAAGAATTATGAAGGTATATAATCGTGAGAATTATCCAAACTTATTATGATTTTCATCTTAAACATCTTAAAGCTTTAGAAGAGTCGAGCAAGTCATAAGTTTATATTTTAGCTTATGACTTGATTAGCCTCTAACCAACCTTTGAGAAAACTCCGATAACTACTTATGGATAGCATTATTTTTATCTAAATGGACATTTTAAGTTCAACCTCGTCCGTCTGAACTTAGAATATAACTAATACCATACCCCTTGATTAATTTGGATTAATTGTTATTCTCTTATTGCTAATTTAACCTCGATTATTTGTCAAATACATAACTTTCTTTACGGGCCGGGGATATTATAAGATGAAGCCCGCTGCCACTATGTACAGAACCAATATTGATTGATGGGCTTCGCGTAATCTTCGAATATATTGGTTCTGTGGGTTTCCCCATATCTTCGTGCCCGCCTGATCTGTTCCCAACTTCTTCAGCACAATATCGCGGGTAGTGAAATAAAAGACTTGTCATAATTAATAGTAACTTGCACATATAATGAAGAATAGAATCCAAGACCTTGAGAACATCAGTAATGTTCTATTGCGAAAGCGAAGCGTATGCGCAATGGGGCGCATTCCGCCCGGGCTTTCGACATGGACGCCGCGCCGCCGAGCTATTTACGACCGCTCTAATATTATTTATGTGTGTCAAACCGGTCTATTTCGGAGGTCGGCGCATCGGATGCGCTAGCGCAGCGGCCGCGAATCGCCCCGCCCGCCGCCCGTGACTCACGGCCGACGGGGACATTTCTCTCGAACGTAGGCGCGATACATACAGACGACACGGTGCGCATACAGATCCAAACATATTTTTCTCTATCTCACGACGGTCGTACACTAGCGACAAGGACGAGGGACCGCAAAGTTACGGGACAAATTTCAATCACCCAAGTCAAACAGCGGAATAAACTGCTAACTGGTTTTTTAGACTACTTTTTATCTTACTCCAATTCTATAATTATCCTTACTCTTTACATCTCTCTTTATAGAGCTATTAAAGGTATCCTATACACAAGTGAAGCCGACACAAGGAGGCGTCTGCCTAAATTCCTCACGTTTCTTGGTCCATCCAATGATTGCCTAACCTCATCACAACGGTTCATTTAGCGTTCGCTATATCATAAATGCATCTGCCAATATTAACCTCACAAAAAATATAAAATAAATAATACTGATTTATCCATTTTATTATATTATCTATTCGATATTATGTCGCCGACATAGACCCTAAACGATATTGAACCATTTTGCTAATAACTTTCACTTTTGTCCACTTACGTCACTTTGACGAATAATCACGCGTGAGTCCCCGATCCATAATATCAATAAACGTGCCGCTGGGGCTAAAGGCTGTAATAATGTATTCATTACTCTTTATTTCCTGATTTTAATATACGCACTTGAATATTTCGTGTAGTATATTGTATTTTGTGTGGAAGGGGTAGTAAATCGAACGATCAATGCGACCTACAAAGATATTCATTTTCGTTCATATGCGATGAAGATCCTAACAATACTGCAGTATATTAAAATAAATGAAAACTAATTTCATTTTAATGTGTAAACAACATTACTCAAAGCTGATTCCCACGCGATTTGTTCGCGTATAGAAGGCCTTAATGGCACGCAATGAAACATGGCCGATCGCATTTCGCAGGTGTCACACGCCATTTGCGAATTCGTCATCCGCCCCTGGACTCTACGTCGGTGGAATTGCCTTGGGCGTTTCTCGTGAAAATATTTATTGTCTTTACTAGCGTGCTTCTTGAAGTTTATGATGATTTTCAACTACTATCCACGCTGCTCATATTTTATCGCTAACGAGCCTCTGTCCGGGACGGTGAAATTTAAAAGCA